ATCGGAGAAGACGATGGCGCAGAGCTTGTCGAACCAGCGCTGCGAGCCGCTCCCGACCAAGACGGCCCGCGCGACAGCCTCGCCGGCGGGCGGGGCGGCGCCGTCGAGGCAGAGGACGAGGAGCGCCGTGTCCATCGCCTGCAACGGATGCGACGGTCCGGTCGTCGGACCGCTCCGCTGGCGCCTCTCTCCCCCCCCGCCCTCCCTCGCCCGGCCCGCTCCCCGCCCCCCCCCTCCGCCCGCCTCACACCTCGAGCGAGGCGCGGTTCGACGCCGACGCACGCCAGAGCGACTCGCGCGCCTTCGCCCATTCGTCACGCGGCGCGGCGGTGAGGGCGCCGAGGCTGCCGCCGCCGCCGCCGCCGGCGGCGGGGCGCTGCTGCGCGAGGCGGCGCAGCGCGGCGTAGAGGAGGGGCGGGGGGTGCGGCGCGCCTACGGGCGCGGTGCCTCCGTCCCTCGGCGCTCACTCCGCCTCTGCTGCGTCACGCGGCGCCTGCCGCGCGCCGTCTGCTCCAAAGAGAGGAAGCGAGTACCACTCGCCGCGCCATCCGACGGCGGCGTGGGTGGAGGAGGGGGAGCAGCGCATGCGGTCGCAGCCGGTCTCGGGCAGCCGCGCCGTCCCGAGCACCGCGGGGAACATCGACATGCAGAAGGGGATCCCTCTCGCGCTCGCGGCAGGGAGCGAGCCGGATCGCAGCTCGGCCGCAAACTCGGCGGCGCCGGCGAGCAGCGTGGCCGCGCGCCAGAGCTGGCTGCCTTCGCTCCCCGCCGGCTCGCGGAGCACCATGGCGGGGTTCGAGTTGATCGGCACCGGCACGCGCGAGCCGAGGTACGCGAGCCGGTACCAAGCAGACTCGAGGTAGGAGCCGTCGCGAGCCGGGCCCTCGTCCCACTCGCGCAGCTTTGAGTCGAGCGCCGCACCCTCGGCCGCCCCGAACGAGGCCACCATCGCGGCGGCGTCGTTGACGGCGGCGGTGCCGCCGCGCAGGGCCAGCAGCGGCGTCGCCGCCCGCATGAAGCGCTCGAGGGTCTCGTCGAGCGGCGGGATGGGCAGCCGTGGAAGCTCCGCCTGGTGCTCGGCGTACGCCTCGTGCAGCTGCGGCGGCGCTGCCGAGGCGGCGCCCGGCTCGCTGCCGGCGGCGACCCACCACGCGGATCTTGCGCCGACCGAAGATGGATGCATGGATGCCAGCTGGAGGCACCTGCGAGCCCGACGGCGAGGAAGGCCCGAGGCGAGAGAACCAGGTTCGTTGTGAAGAGCTGGGGCGCGCCACCCAAGAGCCTAGGTAGGTGCGGAGGTCTCCAAGCTGTCTTGGGTGGTAGCGAATACTCAGTACAGCTGTACTTGTATCATGCACTTTCCCCCTCCCTCCCTTGGATGTTTTCTTTCTTTTTTGCACTGCGACTTCATCAGCCCTTGAGAAAAAGCTCGCATTATGCAAACCTGAGAGAGAGATTTTTAGCAATACCAACTGTGTCCTAGGAAGTAGACTGGGAGGGGTACTCCCAAAGGCAAGAGGAGGTCTGGAGAGGCCCACAGCGGTCAGGAGAGGCCCCAAGAGGGCGCTAGATGAGAGTCAGCAGAGCGCGCCGTCTCGGCGGCTATGGCTAAGTGGGCTGAGAGACCAGAGGGATTTTGTTCTCGGCCGGAAGTGCGCGGCTCAACTTCTAATAAATTGTGCCAGGCTTATCCGGGGGCGGGCAGCATCTTAGCTTCCTGAGTCACCAGAAAATCCCAACGTTCCTTGAGCGGAGGCCGCCTTGGCCACTTTTCCGACCTCTCCGGAGAATCTGAGAGAATGGCTACCAAAGCCCAGCATGGCACCCGCGGGCAAAGCTGCCCCCAGGTCCCTAGAGCCCATGGGCATTCCCAAAGAGGATATGTCAGCGTGAGGTGAGGGCGCAACGGTGGGGGCTCTCACCAGCCCCTCAAAGTCGGGCCTCTCGGGAGGCGGTCAGAGGGGCGGGCAAGGGCACGTGGGAGAAGGGTCAGTGCGGCCCACAAGGTGTGAGCTACCCCCCCCCCTCTCCTAGGTGTGGCTCTACAGCCCGCCTGAGGCCCCCTACGCCCTAGGCTGGGCACCATCAGCTTGGGCAGAGGTTCTCGGGGTGGGGAGAGAGGGAGCCGTCCCCTTTTCAGGCCCCCCCAACCGAGCATTAACTCGCATCCCATTGTAGGAATATGGAACAAGAGAAGCAATATGGATACAAAACAAGATCGAGGTGCTCCAAGCTCACGCATTACAAGGGACACTCTGTCATGTCATGTCGGGGAGGACAAGACAGACCCACCGAGCATGGACAGCCTCAGAACTCGAACCCGAGCCGGCTCGCTCCCGCGACACGGGATGGCGGGCACGACTCGGCAACCGCGACCCGCTCACTCCCCCAGTCCCATTCCATCATCTTCCCCGCCTCCTCCACCGAGCGGATCCGCTCCCGCGCCGCCTCTCCCACCACCTCGCGGTCGCGATCCGCCAGTTGGCGTAGACGGCGAAGGCAGGAAAAGTAAAAGACGTCTGGATGTGAGGTTACCGACTGCACTCCAAGTGCTCGAAGTACGTCAAGACGAGGTAAAGAGAGGTCCGCAGAGCTCGAAGCCTCGCATCGATCCTGGATCGAGGGTTGTTGGCACGAACTAACCACCCCTGAGGCGGGGCAGTGAGTGATGGCCTGCTGAGCCGAGTTATGGCGATGGCCCGCCACGTGGTCAGGAAGTGAAGGTTGGGTTGATCCGGGGTGCTGCACCGACCCGAAGGGGTCGGTATGGGGAAATACCTCACGGCAGGACACCTTTGCCGCTGCCTCGTCTAGCGCCGCCGCGCCCTCCTCATCGTCGTCGTCCATCGCCGCTCGCCACATCTGCTGGCGCCACGCGCACGCCTCCACGTCGAAGTTCTGCTGCTGCTGTTGCTGTTGCTGCTGCTGCTGCTGCTGCTGCTGCTGCTGCTGCTGCTGCTGCTGCTGCTGCTGCTGCTCAGACTCACCCGCCGCAGCAGCCGCCTCCACCTCGCCGCCAGTCGAGCCACGCCAAGGGTGCCCGATGGGTGCACCATAGGTGCCGGAGGGGTACCAAGGCCCTCCGACGCCTCGTCCACGGGCGACTCGTAGCCGCCTGCGCCTCCGCCCCCGCCCACGTCGGCGGCCGCCTCGCCCTGCGCCGCCTCGCCGCCCAGCGTGGCAGCAGCGAGAGCTGGGGAGGTGGTGAGGGAATTCTGGTGCGAGCATCGGCGCAGCCCGGCGCGCAGCTTGGCCACCTCGAGCGAGTCGTCGATGCCGAGTTGAGCGAGAGCGCGCGCCGCGACACATTCCTCGAGGAGGAGGCCGTCGACCTGCTCCGCAGCGAAGCGAGGAGCATGTGCCTCCAGCCTCACAGAGCTGAGGAAGGCGCAGACGTCGTCGACGGCCGCGACGCGCGCCCAGGCGGGCGCCCAGTGGCCGGGCGCGTCCCGGCCTCCGCCGCCGCCACCGCCGCGGCGGTGGCAGCAGCCGAGCTGTGCATCGTAAGTCGAGACGCCGTCAACGAGCGAAACGAGAACTATGAGAGGAAAAAGAAACAGCGCTAAGTCGAGTCGACAGGGCTGCCGAGTCGCAGCGCCGAGGGCTTAGCTGAGCCTCCGATGCCCGCGGTCGACCGCACGGCAGAGTTCCGCGAGGTGGTCGAGCTGCGGCGGCGGCGGCAGCAGGGTCCGCGCACGCCCCGTCCGGCCGGCCCGAAGAAGCGGTCCGACTTTGCTGCGGCGGCCTCCGGCATCGGTGCCGACATCCACGCGACGGCGGCAAAGCTCGAGAGGCTGACGCAGCTAGCGCAGTCCAACTCGCTGCTGCTTTTCGCCGACCCGACGGAGGAGATCAACCAGCTGACCCTCATCGTCAAGCAGGACATCGCGTCGCTCAACGCCAAGCTGTCGGAGCTGCAGAGGGCGATGCGCGACGGGCGAGGCAGCGCGTCGCGGCAGCAGGCGTCGCACTCGTCGTCCATCGTGGAGCAGCTCAAGGCGCGGCTGCTCGACAGCGCCAAGGACTTCCAGGGGCTGCTGCAGACGCGCAAGGAGAGCGTGCAGATGATGCAGGACCGGAGGCAGAAGCTCGCCGCGCCGACGCCGCCGCAGTGCCGCTGCGCCGACGGGGCGGGCGCCTCGGCGGAGAGCCACGCGCCGCGCTCCATCTTCGAGTGCGGCTCGCCGCTCGGCATGGCGACGCCGCCCTCGTCGATGGGCGCCGCCAACGGAGCCCACGCCGGCGGCGGCGCCTTTGCGTTTGACGCGTTCGAGTG